CCACCCCTAACATCCCCTCCTCTCGTCTCCTCCTGTCCTATGGCACCCTATGGATCCTCATTAGCTAGTCTACTCAGCACGTGCACTCGTACATCCATGTGTCACTCTTTTATCATTTGGGGGAAGGTAGAATAGATACTCATAGCTGTGTGTGTCTGTGTATATCTGGATTGTATAGTTTAGCCTTTGGTATTTGGTGTGTTGGAAGAGAAGCTTACAGACAGCTGTCACAACCTTTAAAGTATGTGACAAATTCTAGTGAGGGGATTACTTACAGTGTACATTTGCTTCATGTGCCCTCAATGAAAATGCTAATTACAGCTCCCTTGCAAATGATTAGTAAGCTTATTTCCTTGTATCACATTATACTTGGTCTTTTACGTGTGAATCTTATAAAATGTCCGAACACATAATGGGGGGCATTGTTATTCTGCCACTGAGCCGACGGCAGAGAAAGACAGGGGCCCCGAAGCTGTTGTGTTACATGTCACACCTGTTTTGCTTCAGGAATGCCAGATCTAAAATTTCGTACTGGGGCAGCATTATCAGTGTAAAACAACAAAGCCAGCATAGTTTCAGGTCTTCTTTACGGCAGTATTGTGGGATCTCTGTGTAAAAAGGGCCAGAGTGAGGAAATAGTGTTCAACAAAGATGTGCAAAGTGATCCTTTTAACGTTATTAGACTTGGTTGGAAAAATTATCACCTTGTGGCAAAGCACGTAAGGGCACCCGACCTTCCTCCCCCCCAGTGTCCAGCCTTCCTCCACATATGTTCAACCACCCAATATTCTTATGGACCTGTGTTCGGGGACACTATAGGGCTTTGTTAACTAAACCATACACATTTGAGTACAGTCAAAACTCTTCCTTTTAGGTTTTAAGTTTTATGAACAACTCTCCTTTTAAACTAAGAATTATTTAAGTAAGCTGCTGTTTTATTTTTGTTACTTTGTAGTTCTCTTGACAAATAAGGAAGAATTAAACCTGGCATAATAGTTCTTAAAACTGTTACATGGCTATCTAGAGCCTAGAGCCTAAATGTGGTTGGAACAAAGAGATCATTGGACTGCAGGCACATTATGTCCCCCTTTATGGGTTAAATGGTCAATGTAAAAAGTGTCTGTTTCTAGATCAGCTTTGATTTGTGCTGGATTTGTCTAGCAGGGCCGATGAGGAAGGATCTGTGTGCAGATCAGTTTGGTACACAGTGTTCTGGTGCTGGGACAGAGTGGAGGGGGGTGTGTATTTTATGTACACGTGTGTGCGTATGTGTGTGTGTTTTCCTGTCAAGCAAAGGAAGGCCCTATAGTCCACCTCCCTCGCTCTTTACTTCCCTCCTCCTTTCTCTCCCCTATACCATCCCCCCCAAAGCTATATAGCTGGAGAGTATATATTTACCTTTCTCAGCCATACGTGCACTTTGCCCACTTTGCTTTTGTTCAGAAGTTTTAAAAATCAAAAAAAAAGAAGAGCAGGATTCTTTACCTCCCAGTAACACAGTGCAGAGAAAGAAGTGTAGATTGATGGTCAACTAACTCGAGTGTAACCACAAGCTTGTCTTCTGTTCTAACTATTTTAGATAAAGGGACTTGGGTGATTTTGGTCAGTGCAGGATTGGCCCGTTCGTGACTAGGAGTAGCAGCATGCATACTGCAAACTTGTCCTACATTGAAGACAAGCTGGTACTAGATAGTCTAAATAATTTACTGTTGGACTATGAAGATTTACAATATTTATGTTCTGCTCCCTGCGATTGCTACAATAGCTCAACAGACTTGGATGCATAGTGGGTGCCGCCCCCAGTGGCCATTTAAGCTACTGCCAACCGTTCCAGTAAATAGACAGATAGATAGATTCTTTATTGTCCTTTCCAGGAAATTTGTTGCCACAGACTGTACATAACCCTACACACGTCATTCACACAAGCTAGACATCTAATCACAGCATATACATTCAGGTATTTACACATAGCGGTTACCTGGGAGTTTTGTTGAGTAATGGCAGAAGGGACGAAACCTCTGTCATAGCGAGCTCGTTTACAGGCCAGTGATCTGTATCTGTGAGATCTGTATCCGCCTGGGGTCGTGTGCTATGGTGTGTGCTCTGCGTGTGATGGCTTTTGCTTTTTTTTCGGTTGTATAATACTATTGTAAAGCAGCAGCAGAAGGTGGGGGGCAACCGAAAGAGCTTTGAGGTGCGGATGGCAGAAAGTCTTTGTTGGCAGCGTTTGTGAATGTCTGTGGTGTGTTGTTCAAAGCTCAGTTTATTGTCCAGAGTTAGTCCAAAGTATTTGAAGCACTCCACCATCTCAACAGCTTCATTATTGATATAGGTGGGATTGTGGGTGGTTAAATAAGAGTTCTTTTGTTTTTGTGATGTTCAGCAGCAGAAAGTTGTCTGTGCACCACTGTGTGAAGTGGGAAATGGAGCTTATATAGCTTCGAATACAGTTACTGTCATTAAGGAGTGTAAGGATGAGAGTATTTGATGTATGTGGGGATAGGTGAGGGGTTGGTATAGTTATTGGTGTAGAGGGTAAACAGGAAGGGACTCAGGACACAACCTTGTGGGGCTCCGATGTTGATGGTAGAGGACGTTACAGAGCGCTCTCTGACAGTTTGTGGTCTGTCACTGTGGAAGCTGTATACCCAGTGGATGAGGAGTGGGATGACATTGAGGTGGTGGAGTTTCCTGATCATCTGGTGACGGTGAATAGTGTTGAAAGCAGAACTGAAGTCTGGCAAAGTTACAGGGTGATTTAAGGTGTTGTAGGAGGGAGTGAAGGAGGCATTCCACAGCATCCTCTGTCCCCCTTTTGGCCTTATAGGATAACTGATGGGGGTCCGATTGTGATCAGACAATAATATAGATATAAATATGCAGAGGTTTGGCCCAGCGATACCTACACCACTTATAGTTTATAGTATTTTTTTTATATATTTATACCCAGTGTGGATTTTCTTTAAGGAGAGAGACTTCCTGGAGTAGTTTTAGAAACAGATGCAAATTCTCAGTAATGTTTCATCATGAGCTGCTAGTCAGGTTCACTACGTCCAGATCTGCAAATCTGATACCATCTGTTTCTGACTGGCTGTTCTGTGTGTATGCAAAAACTGAACTCAGCACATTTAAATAGAGGATGGAATCAGACAGTGAGGAGAGAGTGAGACGTGGAGAGACACAGGAGGAAGAAGGAAGAGGAAGAAGAGGATGACGGAGAGGTTTGGGTCTCAAACTTTTTTGTGGAATCCCCTTCTTCTCCTCCTCTTACCCTAGATCTTCTCTTATTTTCCTGTATTTTTCGGATTTATCAATAATCATGCCAAACATTTTCAAGTATGGAAAAACACTAACTTTAGAAATAAGCTATATAAATGTTATATGTCACTGCCTTGACTAATGATCGTTCACTACAGTAGTAGTCAAACACTGTGGAAAATTCCAGAAAAATGATTTGCATTATTTACCTAAACAACTGTTTCCATGAAGCCAGATGATACTGAAGTACTGTAAGCTGTTTGTATGTACAGCCTGATAAGATATTTGAACTGCTGCAGTCAGACCTCAGAACAAACAGAGAGCCAACAAAGATGGACATATTTCTCCTGCTCATCACAGCTGCATCAGGCAAGTGTTTCACATGTTTTATGTTTGTTTATGTAGTTTTATTAAGGTACATCTCTTCACTGTCAGCACTTTCATGGTGTATTTCAGTTTTATAATACTTCTTTATTGATTTATTTTATGTTCATGATATCGTGTACAGGGACTGAAGGTCTGCCACCTTCACCTTGTCATCCAACTGCATTGAAATATGTTGTGGTAATATTGCAGCTCTTAAATTCTTTTTTAGATAATACAGGTGCACAGTGCACACTTCATGTACATTAAAGTTAAGAGCATTCCCATCAGGGTTTTTGGGGCCGATCACGATTACTGGAAGCAGTATCTGCTGATGCCGATCACCAATAATGAGATCTATTTATCTTGCAGTGTTATTTATTGAACTATTATTAACTAGATATTAGGTATTAAACTAAGGAAATGATCATATGTTGTGAATTGACGGCTGTTTATTTATTGAGAGGCAACATGTGCAACATATTTCACACAGAGAGAACTTAAACCACAGCATATGCTTGGTTATTGGGAGCAGTTAGATAACAAATATACAGTGTTTCCCACAGAATGACAGTGTAACTGTAGCAGGGAGGGGAGGGAGATATATTTCTATTTCTAGTCGGTCATTTCTCATTTTACCATTTTAATTCTACTTTATTCTCTACTTTATTTTAGTGTCTTTTATTTACTTACAAACTACATTAATCTGCCTTTTTCTTTCTTCTCTTTTCCTCTCACACACACCTCCACCTCTGTCTCACACTGACTGACTTGCCCTGTCCTGCCTCTTTATGTTTCTTTCTCCATGTGTCATTCAGGCTGTGTGTGTCTGCTCTGTTCATTTTCTTGGTCAGTCTCTCTCTCTCTCTCTCTGTCTGTCTCTCTCTCTCTCTCTCTCTCTCTCTCTCTCTCTGTCTCTCTTTTGCTCTCTCATTCTCTGTCTCTCTTGCTGTCTCTCTTTTACTCTGTCTCTCTCTCTGTCTCTCTCTTGCTTTCTTTCTCTGTCTCTCTCTCTCTCTCTCCCACCCGCTCTCTCTCTCTCTCTATTTAACTCTCTCTCTCTTTGTCTCTCTCGCTCTCTCTCTCTCTCTCTCTCTCTCTCTGTCAATCTCTCTCACCCTCTCTCTCTCTCTGTCTCTCTCTCACCATGCGGTCTGTCTAAATAAATCTGTGTGGTGACATATATATCAGTTGCTGCTGTCTCTGCTCTGAGAACAGGCCTGTACTCTCACACTGTCACAGAGCTCTGAGTGGAAGAAAGAGACAGTGGAGAGAGCTGACAGTGACTAAGATTTAAAAAAAAAAAAGCTGACTCAATCAAGCAGGGCTCAGCTGTCAATCATGAGATGAAAGCCACTTTTTAAAGTTTAAAATGACAAATTAAAACTGATCAGACA